TATATATATATATATATATACACGCACAAATCCCCCCCTCAAAATTCGTCTCTGGATCCGCCCCTGGTACAATGAACAATTAGTAGAACTTATACAATTTATAAGACAAATTATCATTGGCGCATTTTATTAGCCAATAAAAAATCTGAAAAGTTCATGGAGAGCGGAAGGGGATCAAGTATGATGTAGATCCAGTACAACTACTTTTTCTACTAATCCTTGATGTGTAGCTCTTAAATGTATCAGACATTTCTAACAAACATACAAGGTCTATCCCAAAAGTTTCCGGAATGATTTTTTTATAGTTAGCAAGGCTGGCTGGCCGGGCGAAGTGGCTGGGAGACCTATACTGCGATTTTTTCAACTCTGCCACTGGAAGGTCTCAGCTGTTGACGGTTTCACCCAATCGGGAGCTGTCAACGGTGACGTTCAAGCAACCGATTGGATGAATCAGTCAACAACATATTATCTGCGCAAGTTTTCTTAAGCACTCGCTTCGCTAGATTCGAGAGGAGTGGGGAGTTCGGTTATTTTGATGAAAGGAATTTCTGGTCGAATTTTTAGTTCATTTTTCCATGCAAAATTGTTTTTAATACACAGAAGCGAACGTTACAAGACTTTGTGTGTAATTCTCATTGCTATCATTTATTCTTAATGCAACTAATGTTGGGAAGGGAGTGGTGGTAGATATTCCGGGGCTCAAGAAGACGTGCGGATATAATACCTGCCAAGGCCAAGTTGGAGAAAGCGCGTAGTATAAGATTCGCAACAAGACCGGTTGCCTGCAAGTAGTTGTTGAGGACGGTTTACGCTCCGCGCAGAGGCGTCCACTGCACCTCCGTCGATCCAAAAAAATACCAATTTTTGGAGCAGCGTTATGCAATCACGTTCTGTGTGAAAGTGGGGGAAACCGGTGCGGGCTTTAAACGCTTCGAAAAACCTACGTGAACCAAATCCAAACTTTCTTGTGGCACAAGAGGTTCGAAGAAGGTCGGGAGGCCGTCTACGGCGACGACCGCGGGACGCCCGTCAACATGACGAGCAGACGACTCCGTGCAAAACGTGCGTCAAGTTGGGGACAAAGACCGACGATTAAGTGTTCGGATGATTGCAGAGGTGTAGGCTACCCCCAAACAACCGCTCACCGCATTTTAACTGAGGATCTTCGAATGAAAATTGTCCGAAAGGAAATTCGCGACAGATGGATCGAGCACCGCGACAACGCGTCAAGCCAATGCGCGCTCATACACCGAGTTGCTGGCCAAAAAGGGTGTGACAACGCTGCCCCAGCCGCCGTGCCGTCCCGATCTGACGGCAGCCAACTTCTTTTTGTTCCCACGGATCAATAGAATCTGAAAAGAACCGTGAAAGGAGCCCGGCATGGGACGCCTCCCGCCGAGGCGGAAAAAACAGGTGAGCCGCCTACTCTGAAGGAGATTCCCATTGACTTCCAGGGTGCCTTCAATGATTGGGTGAAGCGTTGACACAACGGTGCATCGAAGCACGAGGAGAATACTAAGAAAAGTTCGTAAGATATTGTAAAATTTTAAAAACATCATTCCGGAAACTTTTGGGACAGACCTTGTACATGGGCTTTTAGGGTGAACCAGATTATCTTATGGTTAGAAGCATGTATGAGAAGGTAGTATTTTCTATTAGGCATAATGTGGATAAATATAATTCAACACACCAAGATAGGAAAGTTTTGGAAAAACATTCCAATTTAATATGCACTCGAAAAGCTATTCTAATACCATTAAATTCAGAAAATATTCCAATACACTTTTTTTGCTGAGTTGTTCATTAAATGTTCGTAAATTCATAAATTAAAATGTTTATATTGGTATTTATATGTATCACTGGTGTTGACTTGCATATGAAATTCACGTTCAAAACATGAAAATTTATGAACAAATACTGAAACTTGGGTCCAATCCCTCATAATTTATAACATGTATCAATATTTTCTACAAGTAACAAATGTTTATTCTGAGACAAAAATATTAACACTTCTTCCGATTACCTAATCATTACTTTATATAATTATTATTTAAAACTTAGATTCTCCCAATTGAATAATCAAAATATACTATAAATTTTGTAAACATCACTATTTATAGTATCTTCCTTTCTCCTCAACTCCAAATTTCTAAAATATATATTTGTTCAAACATAATCATGAAATTACCGACAAAGTAGACACATGCATATCTATGTGTAAAATAGTAAATGCAGCCAAACCTTGCATCATGCTACTTACTTTTCATTTACATGCACAAACACAAATGAATTTTTGTTGGTACATGCATGCTTGCAAACTACAAATGATTTAAGACCCTAGACAAGTTGATGGTGAGGAGCATAAATGAAAGTCGCAGAATTAAAAAAATATCTGTATTCTTTGGCGAAGTGACAAGACAACGCTGGAGTTAAGTATACAAAATAATAATAGATTTGTAGAATAAAAATAAAATAAACCAAGCTGACATGGGTAGCAGAGCTCCCGATGTTGGGGAGCACCCTAACCACTTTGGTTTGAGTCTGAAATTAGTCATAAATGTTTCTATATGCCTATCCATCGTTCTATCTTTTCATATCCTGAAATTCACATCTGCACAGGAAGATATCAATGTTCAAAAAGTTGCTGTATTATTGATTGAAATATAAAGCATAAAACAAGTCGTAAGTCGTTTGTATTCAAGCAATCACAAGACACCTCAATGATATTAAAAAATTGTCTTAATAGCAGAGATAAATGGAATAACGAATATTTATACTTGCATATAGTTTTTTAAAATAATTTAATATTCTGGTTCCAAGTTTGGCTGCCATGTCTATATTAAATAAAACCAAATTAAATGCTTCAATGATTATAAAAATGGGTAAAAAAATAATGTGTGAATCCCCCTTTGAGGAGTAAACCATTTTTTGAAAAAAGTACTTAAAACTGCAATTTTTTTATACATGAAAATTGACTGATGAAACAATGAACTTGGAAATTAATTCTTGCCTATTTCTCTGTGCAAATTTTTTTGCTTTCCTCTTAACGATTTAAAAAAAAGGAGACAATTAAAAGGAGTAAACATCTAACCAACATCATTTAACTTGAAACAGTTCAATAACCCTTGATTACAATCTACAATGCAGATTATAATTTGTTTTTACAAAAATGTGAAAAAGAAAGAAAAATAAAACAACACTAAACCAAATTAGAATATGAAAACAAATTTAATTTCCTACTGCACTCCCTTACCTGCCAGACTCTCTTCTATTATTATGTATACATCTTCTTTGCATAATAAACCTGGCTCTTCATGATCTACACTAACGTTGTAACACAACATTTTAGGAATAGTTGATGAGAACGGCAGAATTAAAAGCAAACTAGCAAAAATGCAACTGTCAAGCTAGAAGGCTAAAAATAGTACCCATAAGCAGTGAATTCAGAAAGTAGACAACAGGGGAAATTTTTGTTTCCAACTTTTTTAAATGACCAATAACTTACAATAAGTCACACATACATTGAAATTTTGAGTAAGAAATCAACAATTTAAAAGCTTTCATAAATACAACACAGTCTTAAATATAGATATATTAGCTTTTGTGTAAAGAATAGAACTTAAAGCAGGGTGAATTCTATTCTTCCCTCTCATATCCACAAGTCACAAAAGGAAAAAGAGCACAAGAAAAAGAAAATAAGAGAAACAAGCCCCAAGTGAAGCCAATTTTATGATTATCATTCCTTGCATTAAAAAAAATTAAGAATTGTTTTCTTGAGAAGAGGAATAGAAGTAAACATATTCGATAAGATCCTAGAGTCCCATTAAATTTTGAATCTTGCAATAAGTTGACACTACTTTTCATTCACTATTCCTACCTCATCTTGAATTTCCTTAAATGCAATAAGATAATTACAATTATTATTTTTCATTTTGTAAGAATTCTTAAAAGTTGGGCATACAACACATTCAGAAATTTAAAGAACTATTATAAAAACTTCAATAATGTCATTTTAAAATGAAATCTAATATTAACTTAATTCTTGTTTTATATTGCAATATTATGATTGATTGAACATATGGGATACACTAGCATTGCTTATCTTAACCCTTCCTGGAAATAATTATGTACACAATAAAATTAACATAATTATCATGCATTAAAAATTGTACATTCAGAAAATCAAAAAACACTTTCTTTGAGAGTATTTCAAAAAGAAATATTCTTAATACAATGCATTAATTGCTGATTAAGGTGCAATGGACTAGGAAAAATTCACAAGCAAAAATGTATTTGTATTTCAGTCATAATTGTACTCAACAATATCTTATTTTGCTTGATACATGCTGTAAATTGCAGCATTTCATACCACACTAATTGCATACAAACTTGCACTCAATAATTAATAACGTCAATACTCCCACACATTCACATTTGATGTCTTACTTAACACAAGAAATAAGACATCGTATCATTCATCAGAACAGCATTCAAATACTTTCAAGAAAGACAGTCTTTCATTATTTGGTTCAGAAGAATATCTGAACTTCTATAACAGAAGCAACATGATTATTTAATGAAAACAACAGACAAGTAGTTCACTTAAGCAGTAATAACAAAAGTTTCATTCCTTCCAACAGCACTGGCTTGGCACATAGTCACTGATGTGCATTACAAAATTTAGAAACCATGAATTCACTGATTGTTCAAAAGCTCACTGAAGAGATTAAGCAGAGCAAGGCTGAGCACAGTTTTGGTTCATGCAAGTCTACCGAAAATCTTATGCAGCAGGCGTAATATCTTGTGCACTGATGAAGGAGTAATTTCAAAACTTACTTCTGCAAGGCAATATTGTGAAGACTGTATTACTACACAGTGACATATTGAATAAACACAAACTAACACTTAACTCTATAGAGTAATAAATATATTAATGAATGCAAAGAGGGTTTGCCAACAGTGTCTGCAAAATGCAAGTTAATAGATAACTATTACATGCCATCAATTTAACAAGAATACCATCAATAATTTGAATGACATTATTTTATAATAATTCCTTTCTTTTCCCCATATCTAATGCTCTCCTGTTGTCTATTTCAAAACAGCACAAATGACATGTAAACAATTGAAATAACTACAAATTATCAATAATGAAACAAATGCAGAAATTTACTCCTCTACGCTTGTCTTAAAAGCCAGGCATATATAAAGAAAATTATGGACCATGGACCAATTGATTTCTCTCACAGTAAGCAAGTATGAAAAATAAATCATTCTGGTCAGGAAATATGAATTTTGTTCCAATGTACAACCATACAACCTAACTGTAAGAAGAAAAAAATTAACAAATCTCCCACAATCTTCATTAACAATCCAGTATCACTTTTTCCTTCAGTCTAACACTACTTCACTAATCTAACAAGGCAAACAATTTATAATTTGCATTGTATTGAAAGCACTAATTGTTCAATTTTCTTTAATAGGATGATAAAAAGATATATAAATATCACACTTTTCTCCTTGGTATTGAGTAGGTCCAGATTTCTCTCAAGTGGAATGCACTGTAAAACAATTCTATCATTTCTTTAGATAAATAAAATGAAATGAAGAGGGATTATTCACTGAGAGAGCACTCACTTCAATGAATTATCAGTATTTTCAAAACAAGTGTCACTATAACACTATGAGAGAAACAAAATTACTTCTGGGACCTTTTAATTAGAAAGATGAAATTATGTTTATCTCTGGCCAGCACTTTTCTTCTCCTAGGGCCAATAAATGTACTCTTGGGAAAATGGCACTTTTACACCTCTCGCAAAAAACAAAATTTGAAAGGTAAGAATAATTACAATTTGACAGGCACTATATTAACAAAGCATCAATTCAAACTGAATTGAAATGTCGCAAACATAATTCAGCCTTAATCCTCAGGCTACTTTTGAAAACATCATCCAAACCATTTCAAAATTCGTCTCAGAACAGGGCAAGTACCAGGCATATTTTAAAATGTAGCAGTTGTATAACAGAAGATGAGAAGTGAGGCAACTGATTATCGTTCCTCATGCTAAAGGTGGATCATCATCTTCATCATCTTCTTGACCAATCCTGACTTCTTCATAGTGCCGTCCCTGCAGTAACTGCAGTCTTTCAAACCAGTGATATCGTCGTCCAATCAATACAAGAAGACCACCAATTGCCAGCATCAATGGAACCAACACTGCTGCTGTTATTGCACCAGCTACAAAGAAAAAGAATTCATGTAAAAGATGTGCGCCTATATAAAAACACAATAAACGATAGACAGTTGAAAAAAAGGAAATTTAGTAGAAAACATAACTTATTCAAAATGCTATCATTTTCACACATACAACCTCTATTTTAATGTTGGATTATTAAAATTTAGTAGAAATGTTGTTTCTGTGTCACATTTTAAAATTTTTTTCTAATGGTTAAGAACGAGTTTTTCTTAGTCCTTTTCACCATTTTCATTTACATCCTTTCCGCCCGACCATCTCAGTCTATCCCTTGTGATCCATCTGATTTTGTTTCCAAGCGTGTCGACAACTGCTATAGTAATTAGTGTCGTAAGTTCGGTGCATTTTATATTGCGGGAAGTAGCGGCATTTCTCCTCAGCTAAAACATGACGTCAGGCGCCGACCAACACGTCGGCTTGCAGGTGTTTCCCCTCTCCAGGTATCTCGGCCAGCAGGAAACCGCCCTAGCCAGGATAAGCTCGAAGCTCTCGACTCGTCTCCTGCCAGATGTGGAAGTGTAGTGGATATGTGTGCGCGTGTAAGGGGAGAGGAGGGGTGAAGAATGAGGAAGCGAGAACGCGTGGGCCCATGGTCCGTTTGTTAACGAGCTGCTCCGATGTTCACCAAATATTGATCGCAGAAACCACGGAAAAACACCTATCAGAGAGAAGGAAAGGGAGAGAGAGAGAGCGAGAGAGGTGGGGTAAGGGGCAGAGAGAGCGAGAGGGGGGTAAGGGGCAGAGAGAGCGAGAGAGGTGGGGTAAGGGGCAGAGAGAGCGAGAGAGGTGGGGTAAGGGGCAGA